TTTTGTTTTTGTAGCTCTTTTTGTTTTGTTTTTGTGACTGTGTGGAACCCAGTTCAGCTACTGATTGATTGTGTGACTGCAGTACATTGTTTATTGCTTTCATTTTATGGATCAATGGTCTCATTAGATAGTAAAATTCATGTTAAATTGCTGTTTTAGGGGTTGTTTTTAAAAGTTGGATTAATCCATTTTGCATTACTTTCTAAGGGAAAGCGCACCTTGGTTTTGGAACGCTTTTGTTTTGGAACAGACTCCCGGTATGGATTAAGTTTGAGAACCAAGGTACCACTGTATTTGCAAAAGAGGTGAAGGGGGGTTACAAGCAAGATGTCCAAAGATACTTTCTTGCCAAGGCAAACATAGTGACCAGTGTGTCTTTCTGAAACTTTCTTCACTTCAGGTTCTCAGTGAACTAACTAACCTTTACCTCACAAATTATTCCAAACTTCACAAGAGGAAATCATCAACCTTGGTGGAAATAACCCCTTTTTACGTTGGTTAAGAAGAAAAGGGAAAGTAAAGGAAACAACATCCTTTGTTTTAAAGGGGAAATGGTAAAGAATAGGAAAAACCACTAAATGCTCAAACTAAACCTTTAAAATTTGATTTTCCATCTCTGTTGCCAGCAGTGAGAGATGTCTCTCTGCTCTCATATAATTTTCAACAGCCAGAAGAAAAGCAGGTTTTGCTAACTGTGGTTGCTCTTTCCATTCAAAATCCTTGATAACCAATGAAAGCTATAATAGCAATCTGCTTATGAGAAAATATACATAATATAAAATGAATCTAGATAATTAATGTATAATGTTGTTTTGGGGGAGCAGACTATGCATGCCCACTCACACCACAAAGAACTCATAACCCACCTACTCTCAGCAGCCAGAAACATCATAACCAGACACTGGAGAGACCTGTCAGGAGAAAGCATGGACCAATGGTACCAAATAGTATGGGAAACAGCCTTACTAGTAAAATTAACCAATAAACTGAAACTAACATGAGGACAAATGGAAGAAGACACCTTCACCCCGGTATGGCTCCCCTTTATCACATACACAGCCCAACAAGACACCGCCAAGAATCCACCAACAGCATATGAATCAATACAGCTAACCTGATACAAAAACACCCACCTACCCCACTCACACATAAAAACAAAGTTCACCACAGCCAACAACAAACAAACAACCACACCCTAGGCCAACCTCAACCTCTCTAACCACCAAAGCAACACAAGCGAATAGTAAGGAGAACCCGCACAAGCGATGCTGACACAAAACCCCACACATACACTAAGTAAAATAGAAACATCGCCATCCGACCCCACCCCCACCCCCACTCACCATGCCCCCCCTCCACCTCTTTCCCCCTTTTCTTCCTAATGTAACACTAATGTCTCAACAAATGAAACTGATCTGTAGAAAATGTAACTTGAAAAAAGAAACATAGCACGTACTTTTGTAAACCAAGAAATCTTTAATAATAAAAATTAAAGAATGTGAACTTTGAAAAACTGCTACAGAAAAGTTTGCATTTATTAATTTTAATAAAGTTGCATTTTTTATTTACCAAGCTGATATCAGACATTCTACAGTGGGCGCATGCATGCTCCAGTTGCTTCCGTAGAAAGTTTTAATATGTACAAAAGACAGTTTTCTCTCTCTGACTCTCTCACACGCACTTGTCACTCATTCAGTGATGAGGAAGCAGCATAACCCCCCTTTGACCACAGCAAATGAACTGATTTCAGTGGCCATCCGTGATGCTTGTCCATTTTATGTTCCCTGAATGCCTCTGATTTTACACTGGGGACAGCACAAAAGTGGAGAACACGCTTTTAATCCCCAGTATCTGCAGATGGAGCTGAGAAAGATTCTTGGGGAAATAAAGAATCGTGAAAGAGCTACTGTTGAGATTGCTGTTTGAGGGGTCTCAAACAAAGATGTGCTCTCCCATGCCCACATTCCCAGCATGTTCAAACCCTTGTCTCAGCAATGTTTACACTGGCTTGGTCATGTCCACAGAATGGAAGATGGCAGGATCCCCAAGGACACGCTCTATGGGGAGCTGGCTTCAGGCACCAGGCTTGTTGGTGGACCAACTCTGCATTATAAAGGTGTCTGCATATGTGACATGAAGGCTGACAACATTAATCCCACTGTGTGGGAATCCCTTGCAGATGACCCACAGTGCCTGGAGACAGTCAGTCAGGGTATATATCAGTGACCAGAGGAGAAATGACAACTGAGAGGAGTGCAGAGAGAAGAAACATCATGGTGCATCTATAATAATGAAACCGGATGCTTTCATCAGCCCCAGTTGCAATAAAACATGTCTGTCCCATATTGGCCTCTACTGCCACAGCAGGCGCTGTAACCTTCCAAAAGTTTGACTTCACCCCTGAAGGTGCACTCCTCCATTGTCTCCCAAGGCAGAAGGATGCCAGTCAGGGGGTTGGGTTTGAGGTCCCTTCCAACTTCCAACTCTATAGTTCTATGATTCTGAGTGTTGGTAACAGGTAAAGGACATCTGGTTGGTTACGTCCAGTCAAAGGAGACTATGGGGTTGCGGAACTCATCTCGCTTTCAGGCCAAGGGATCCAGCGTTTGTCCATAGACAGCTTTCCAGGTCATGTGGCCAGAATGACAAAACCTCTTCTGGCACAACAGAACCCATGACGGAAACCAGAGTGCACGAAAACGCCATTTACCTTCCTGCCACAGCAGTACCTATTTATTTACTTGAACTGGCGTGCTTTCAAACTGCTAGGTTGGCAGGAGCTGGGACAGAGGAATGGGAGCTCACTCCGTCATGGGGATTTGAATCACCAGCCTTCAGATCGGCAAGCCCAAGAGGCTCAGTGGTTTAGACCACAGCACCACCCGTATCCCTTCAGAGTGTGAGCCATACTGAGGTACATGGACCAATAGTCTACCTCAGTATAGGCCAGTTTCCCATGTCTCACTCATATAAAAGCACACAATAATCCACATTCACGTTGACAGAAGAGGCAACTGGGTCCACACACGCAATGGGATGCATTCACAGAGTAGCCCTCATATTTATATTCAATTTTTCCACCAAGGAGCTCAAGGAGGCATCCATTGTTCTCTCCCATCTCCATTTAATCCTCACAACAGCAATGTGATGTAGCTTAGACTGAGAAAGAGGCACATGGGGAACAGAAGTCACTTACAGAGAACCCTCAAGTGTGTTCTCTACATCCAAGGTATAGGTGGGGACCATTTTGCGTGGGGGTTCCATTTCTGGCCCTTGCATCCGTTGGTGGAGCGAGCAAAAGCTGCACATCATTTGGACGCACCTAAAATATTTTTAATATTTTTCAGTAGTCTCCATTCATCATTTTCCCAAATTAAATCTTAATATGGTGGAAACCATGGCTTGAACTGCATATCTAAACCTGGCAAGGAGAGCAAACAAATGCCTCTACCTGCTTGACTTTGCCAAGCAACTCTGAGGTTGCTTGGTATGCTGAGAACACTGTTATGGGTTTTGAATGGAAGGACAAAGCAGCAATACTTTTGAGATTCAATAAGAACACATTCCTATCTTGCCAGAAAACATTAGCACATCAATTCTGCTGATAACGTTGGATTGATCATCATAGGCAGGAAGCCTGTTCTGTATTTTCTGATACTTACATTAAACCAAAAACATACAAAGTAAAGAGCAGATAAAGAACATTAAAGGCAGAAAAGCCTATTTGGTATCAAATATAAAATCCCTTCCACATGCAAAAATAAGGAGAAAAGAAATCCCTGCAGATTTCAAAGGAAGTTACACAAGTAATCTGGAATGGGCGGCATTACATCTGAGAGCAGAGCAAAAGTAAAGCTTGTATCAATATTCTAAATATTCTGAAGCATAGTCATTTGTCATGCCTCTGTAAATAGACAAGATTCTTAAAGTATCAGAGCATTTCATCTTTTTAAAACACATCCAGTCATTTTTTTTTATTTCTTAGCTGCACACCTTCAAATGCAGAGTATTTATTGCCATTCTTTAAAGACATTTCTTTCCTGTGTTGCAACAACATAGTAGATGTTCCGTATTTATTATGTTTCACATAGATCCATATTGAATGCACTTAGGATATAAGGAAATGGCTCGGTTTATTGCCAGCCCTGTAAACCCAGCCTGGCATTTGAGGTGTGCCTTACACAAATGAGTGCAAAGTGCTTCCAGACTCTTCACAACCTCTTCAAAAAATACCTGTAGGCTTTGATCATTTGGTTTTCATGTAGAAATATACAGATTTCATTTTGTTATAAGCAAAAGGCCATCACACAATTCACATTGCCTCATTTGTCAGGTATACTTATATGCATATCAACACCCGCCAGTGAATTAGGCAAATACGCCACCAAGCTTATTCGGGCAATTAAGAAATACCCTACTAGAATAGTTTATTTCTGTTCTTAAGGATCTCTGAGCTCCTTGGGGAGAAGGCCAGGATAGATATTTAATAAACACTAAATATGTATGGAGAGAATCCATCAATAGGCTATAAGCCACAGTTTTCTAGGAAATGGTGGTTTAAATTCTGGGTGACTATCCCACAGTTCAGAGACCTGATCTGGACACAAGATCACAATGAATTTGGAACAAGCAGCAAAAAAAGGGGGAGTGAAATAGTGCTAGGATCAGTAGAGTGCAGTGGCCTGATGGGGTTGAAAATTGCCCTCTTCCTGATTTTCAAACTGATCATTTGATGAGCAGATTGGCTGATGAGAGGAAAGAGTATAATAGGTGTCTCTACCCACTTTTGCTGGTGTGTGTGGTCCTAGGAGAGTTGGCCAAAGATTAATGGACCCATGGATAAAAAGACTAAGCCACCCCTCAGTTAAACTAACCATGGTTTTTGTAAGCTTGAGTTCCTGATTCTGGGGGAAAAGGCAGGGTATAGGATCATAGAAATGTAGAGTAGGAAGTGCCTGTGAGGGTCATCAGTTCAAACCCTCTGCAATGCAGGAATCTTTTTGTCCAACTTGGGGCTCAAAACCATGACCCTGAGATTAAGAGTCTCATGCTCTATTGGCTGAGCTATCAAATACAATGATGATGATGATGATGGTTATAGAAGCGCCAAAGAGGAGGAGTGAGGGAGAAACACACAGGGCCCCTTGCTCATTCTTAATAAACTATGGTTTATTAATAAACCTGGCTTTGTTAAATAAACTATGGTTTATGAAGTCAATGTTGTTACTTATGAGAGTGAATGAGAAAAAGGCAAGACAGAAATACTCAGATATCCTAAACACATGAGTGCAACTTTCATGTAGATAGCTATGGATACCTTGCTCTGACATCTAAACCTGAACCAAAAGCACTGTAGCTTCGCCTCCAACATTTCTCTAATGAAAATAGAGACTCCTATTCAATATAATAATAATAATTTTATTTATATGCCACCCATTAAACATTTAAAAACATCCCTATATAGGGATATCTTCAGGTGTCTTCTAAAGGTTATATCGTTACTTATATTCTTGACTCAGGGGTTGCATAACTCCATACCCTTCAACAATTCTTTGATGAAAATACAGACATCCTAAGGAAAAGCGGGACATTCTGTGATCAAATCAGAAACTGGAATGGCTTCTGTAACTCTGGGACTGTCCCTGAAAAAGAAAGAAACTTTGAGGGGCTGCTACAGAAAGCAACATGAATGACCAAGCACCGATTCATTTATATATTTTATGACACAAAATGTAACCACTTGGGGGGGAAATTGCAACCTCACATGGCAAGCCATTTGTATGAAGCTGTTTCACAGGCAGTTTGCTGTGATCTCAGTCATTCTGGGAGAACTGCTCCTCCTTCTTGCTACTCCGCTTTCCCCACTTCCCAGAAAAGAGGAAGGTGAACATGATGAAGAACAGGGAACGGGGACCTTCGTGCATCAACCTTCTTCCAGGGATCGCTTACCAATTGTGGGTGTAGCAAAAGGTGTGGCCAGAAACACACTACTCTCCATCTTCCATCCAGGCAAGCAAGGTTACAGTGCAGGCAGGTAAGGTCACTAGAGGATGGTGCACAGCAGGGCCAGTGAGGGGTATGACCTGGGCAGGGTTCCAAAAGCCAGACACATTTGGTTGCCAGGCCTAAGGCTCCCCACTCCTGCTAAGAGTATGAATTATGTCTGGAGGCGGTTGGAGGATGGATGGCGGCTAACAGATTGAGGTTGAATCCTGACAAGACAGAAGTACTGTTTTGGGGGGACAGGAGGCGGGTGGGTGTGGGAGACTCCCTGGTCCTGAATGGGGTAACTGTGCCCCTGAAGGACCAGGTGCGCAGCCTGGGAGTCATTCTGGACTCACAGCTGTCCATGGAGGCGCAGGTCAATTCTGTGTCCAGGGCAGCTGCTTATCAGCTCCATCTGGTACACAGGCTGAGACCCTACCTGCCCGCGGACTGTCTCGCCAGAGTGGTGCATGCTCTGGTTATCTCTTGCTTGGACTACTGCAATGCGCTCTACGTGGGGCTACCTTTGAAGGTGACCCAGAAACTACAACTAATCCAGAATGCGGCAGCTAGACTGGTGACTGGGGGTGGCCGACGAGACCATATAACACCGGCCTTGAAAGACCTACACTCGCTCCCAGTACGTTTCCGAGCACAATTCAAAGTGTTGGTGCTGACCTTTAAAGCCCTAAATGACCTCGGTCCAGTATACCTGAAAGAGCATCTCCACCTCCATCGTTCTGCCCGGACACTGAGGTCCAGCACCGAGGGCCTTCTGGCGGTTCCCTTGCTGCGAGAAGCCAAGTTACAGGGAACCAGACAGAGGGTCTTCTTGGTAGTGGCGCCCGCCCTGTGAAACGCCCTCCCACCAGATGTCAAGTCCCCAGTCCCCAGTCCAAGGTCAGTCCACATGTCCAAAGTCCAAACCAAAGCACAGTCCTGCAGAGATCCTGGAGCATCCGAGTTGAGGCTCATAAACATGGGCAGATGAGCAGCCACAGTCCCTCAGCTCTGCTGCCCTTTTATACTCTGCATGCTGATTGCAGCATCTGGGCTCGATGAGGCATGGGACCCTCACCTGCCCCAAGGCTACACCAGCTGAGGAATCACAAACCTCTGTCGAGAGCTAGCAAATCCCACCTGGCCAGCTAGGGAGCTGGGCTGTGGGCCCTTGCCTGCATCAACTTCCTAGAGTGCTGCTCCGACTCCTCTCTACGCCTCAGAACTCACTGTGTTCATGGGGACAGGGACCCCTCTAGTTCTGGTGATGGGTCCTGCTGCTCTGGTTCCTGTGCACTGACCCCCACCCCCCTCAACATCCTCAGTCACCCTGTGAGTACTTCCTACACCAACATCACCTTCCCCAGCTATACCCCTTGCTGGGATCCTCCTCCTCCTCCTCCTCCTCCTCCTCCTCCTCCTGCCAGTTCATGACATATTATAAGAGAACAAAGGAGGCATTCATGGTGAGTTCTGGCACCCTTTTTTCCAGAAAAATAACACTGATCCTGACCTATATTATGATTGCATCAAAAGGCATCTTGCTTCAACTTATGTGAAGTATTCTGAGCACCTGGGCAAAACTGAGATAAAAATACAATTATTATTATTTTTAATTTATGTTCCTATGTACATTGGGTCGAACTTAAAGCTTAACAAAGCTTCAAAAGTAATTGGGTAGATTTGAATGACCTCTGTGTGGGTGTAATAACCATTCAAACTTTATGGCCATTGTGATCAAAGAGGGCTGAAAGAGTTAAAGGTTCTCCACAGGTTCAGGAGGTAATCAGCAAAAGAGTTGCCTGGGGCCTCACACAGTACAAGATGTCTCAAAAGCAACAGTACTTAATCCTGTGCAACTCAGCACTGGTGCACTTTGTCATCAAACTACAGGGACACCCGTCTCGTGATAGATTATTCTCATCTCGGCCAAAAGGAAAATATCAGCTCTTTTTCTCTGCTTGGTATTACTGCTGGGAGTTTTGGGCTATACAGTTGGTGTCTAGAACTCATTCAACCATCCATCTCAAGGTTACAGTTCAGTACATGTCCTTCTGCTACTTGCCACTAATGGGACCCGCACAGCTTCCGATACCTACTTTCATTCATAAAAATTAAAGTTTGTTCAGAAGTAGGGTGTTTCTTTGAACAAATCTTCCCAATATCAATTAAATTCTTCTAGTCACATTTCATCACTAGCAGCATGTAATCAGGGCTGTTTATATTTTCGCTGTGCTTCTGGATTCAATCCAGGAACAGCAATCATTAGCAAGTAGATTATTATTTTTTTAAAAAGGAAATGTTCAAGCCCTCTAAAACAGGAGATTACTGTAAATTGGAACAGCTTCATGTTAGAGAACACAAAAGGCTGCATGCAACACAGGTAACCAAGGGATATATACAACTCAGAAAAAACATTTCTTCCTCCCAGCACCCACAGCACAAGGCTAATGGATCAAGAAAAGGGCCATCGCCTCTTTCAAATTTTTATACTTTTGTATAAATTAGTTCACTGAGCAACCATCTCCTGAAAAACATAAATGCACTCACAATATAGTCTAGCCAAATATCTAGGTAAAGGTAAAGGGACCCCTGACCATTAGGTCCAGTCGTGGCCGACTCTGGAGTTGCGGTGCTCATCTCGCTTTACTGGCTGAGGGAGCTGGTGTACAGCTTCCGGGTCATGTGGCCAGCATAACTAAGCCGCTTCTGGCGAACCAGAGCAGCGCACGGAAACGCCGTTTACCTTCCCGCCGGAGCGGTACCTATTTATCTACTTGCACTTTGATGTGCTTTTGAACTACTAGGTTGGCAGGAGCAGGGACCGAGCAACGGGAGCTCACCCCGTCGCGGGGATTCGAACCGCCGACCTTCTGATCGGCAAGTCCTAGGCCACCTGCGTCCCTGCCAAATATCTAGTGTTGTGCAACTGAGCAGGCAGGCAATTCAGAAGATTATCAGTATCAGGGAAAAGAGGGAAGAAAATCAAATTAAAATATTTTGAACCAATTTTACATTAGATATCTGGCAACAGTTCGTTTATTTATTAAAAACTCATATGGACCCCTCAAAAGGTTCCTGCATTCATAGCAGAGCGCTTGGCCTTTTCTCATTCTGAGCACAGATCCTCTTAGAGCCAACTTCCGGATGTGTCACAAGTCATCTGGTAGCACAGAAACTCTAAAATGATGTTCACTAACAATGTTCTTTGTACCGTGATCCTAGCTGGGGAAATGTAGTTTACAATACTGATAAGATATTAGTGGAGCTACACATATGCCCATAACCTAGTGTTAATTAATTAAGCATATTTATAGCCTGCCTTTCTTTCATTAGGGATGCTTCAGTTATCTCCATCTTCAAATGAGATGAATTTTTAAAGATAAATATGCTCTTGATTCCTGGTCACATTTCATTCTTCGTTGCTCTCTCTCTCTCTCTTACACACACACACACACACACACACACACACACTAATTTCTTTTTAGCGTTAAAATAACAAAAATATTATTTTTCCTTCTGTTTCTTTTAAATCGGCAAAGAGCCAAAGCTTAGTAGAGTGTGTGCTTTAGATTCAGAAACTCCTCCCCCCTCTCTGGTTGTGGTTCCCTCTATAGCCAAATGGGAACCAATTGCATGCCCAGGCGCCATGTACATCCTTCTGCACTTAGAATAGAATAGCCACACTTACAGACATTCATTTGGTTCAAATTAGGCCACAACTTTATTGATTATAAATGGGAGTGGCTTGGGCTTAAGCATTGGGTACAACCATTATCAACCAACCCACTTGAAGCTCGGTTTTCTCAAGTGTCATTGAACACATATTGAGAGAGTCTATAACATTCATCACTCACTGGAAGGACAGATCCTGAAGCTGAGGCTCCAATACTTTGATCACATCATGATCACATCATGAAAAGAGAAGACTCCCTGGGAAAGACCCTGATGTTGGGAAAGATGGAGGGCACAAGGAGAAGGGGACAAGAGAGGACGAGATGGTTGGACAGTGTTCTTGAAACTACTAACATGAGTTTGACAAAACTGCAGGAGGCAGTGGAAGACAGGAGTGCCTGGCGTGTTCTGGTCCA